CAGGATTTGAGTGTAAATTTGGGTCAACTTGTTATATGAATCACTTATTGTATATTAATAAATTATAAACTAAGTCTTACCTAAACTATCTGAAAGAATTTTTAAATCAGAGCTTGAAAAATTACCTGAAACATCTAGTAAACCAAACTTCCCCAAGAGGAAAGGTCTGTTAAGGCAGGTAGAAAGCACTCAGACAACAGGTCATGTTTGTCTTCCAATTACCTGCCCTCTGTCAGTCAACAGGTGGAGACACACTGGTCAGGAAACAGTTATACTTTTACACAAAAGCAGTTTAAGAATATGCAAGTCACTGCTGTTATTGTTAGATCACTAACAATAAGCTGCCAAGTACAAATTTCAAGCTCTAAATTCATTATGAAGGCATTCTACATTCCACCATCAATTAAATAATTGCCGGGTAATACAGAGAGATAACTAGGTAAAAAAACAAAACAAAACAAAACAAAAACAAAATATTTTACAATTTCTACTTCTTCCATTTCTAAAGGAAATTATGCTTCCAAGCCTAAGTCACATCCTAGAGCTGACTGATAATGATAATGGTTGCAGTCTACATTGTGGTTAACCAACACGGTAGCTTGACACTAAGTGAATGCTGGGAACTCCATTCTCCCCAGACACTGCCTGGCTGCCCCAGGGTTTAAAAGGTCAATCAATATCCCAGCTGATCAGTTACCTATTTACACCTGAGTTCAGTAGCTTATGTTCTGGAAACATCCAGTACACAGTCTATTTTTACTCCTAAAAATTCTCATTTCTCTAGTTCTACACGGACTCCATTAACCAAGAAGCCCATTGGAAAAGAACAGGAAAGATTCTCAATCCAATGCCCTATCAGGTTACTCTCTTACTCTTCACATATGGCAAATGGAAAATAAATCACCCACCTTCAGGGAAGTTCCATGGCTATTATAACAAAATATTTAAGTGCAAGATAATACCATATGTTGTTGTTATTAGGTGCTATTGAGTCAGTTCCTACTCATAGCAACCATATGTACAACAGAACAAAATGCCGCCCGGTCCTGCGCCATCCTCACAATGATTGCAATGTTTGAGCCCATTGTTGCAGCCACTGTGTCAATCCATATCATTGAGGGTCTTCCTCTTTTTCACTGACCCTCTACTCTACCAAGCATGATGTCCTTCTCCAAGGACTGGTCCCTCTTGATAACATGTCCAAAGAACGTGCAACAACGTCTCGCCATCCTCGTTGCTAAGAAGCATTCTGGCTGTACTTCTTCCAAAACATGTTTGTTCATTCTTCCGGCAGTCCATGGTATATTCAATATTCTTTCCCAACACCATAATTCAAAGGCATCAACTCTTCTTCAGTCTTCCTTACGCACTGTCCAGCTTTTGCATGCATATGAGGCAACTGGAAATACCATGGCTTGGGTTAGGCGCACCTTAGTCCTCAAAGTGACATCTTTACTTTTTAACACTTAAAAGAGGTCTTTTGCAGCAGATTTGCCCAATGCAATACATCATTTGATTTCCTGACTGCTGCTTCCATGGGCGTTGATTGCGGATCCAAGTAAAATGAAATCCTTGACAAATTCAACATTTTCTCCATTTATCATGATACTGCTTACTGGTCCAGTCGTGAGGATTTCTGTTTTATGTTGAAGTGTAATCCATACTGAAGGCTGTAGTCTTTCATCTTCATCGGCAAGTGCTTCAACTCCTCTTCACTTTTAGCAAACAAAGTTGTGTCATCCACATATTACAGGTTGTTAATGTGTCTTCCTCTAATCCTGATGCCACGTTCTTCTTCATGGAGTCCAGCTTCTCAGATTATTCACTCAGCATACAGACTACCTATGGTGAAAAGATACAACCCTGATGCACACCTTTCCTGATTTTAAACCACACAGTATGCCCTTGTTCTGTCTGAACAACTGCCTTTTGCTCTATGTACAGGTTCCACATGAGCACAATTCTGGAATTCCTGTTTCTTCTCAATGTTATCCATAATTGTGATGATCCACGCAGTCGAATGTCTTTGCATAGTCAGTAAAACACATATTTTAAATACCACGTGGAGTACGAGAACAGGGTTTACTGAACCAACCATGGACCTCACTTAAGACACGTGGGCAAAGTAATCATTATAGCAGTATGATGGCTACTTTATTAGGTTAATGCATTATTTTCAGTCTTTCTGAGCCAATAAAAGAAGTGGCTCACTGTTTATTAATGTCAAGGGTCCAATGGGATAGAAGATAAAGTACACAGAATAACTCTTGTCACATATATGTGCTCAATAAACATGGTTATGTTGTGTGCATTGCAGCTATTGACACACTCAGCTTTGATCGGCCCAACCACCTAGCCTGACTAGAATTCAAAAATAGAGATGGCAGCACTTACAGAAAAGGCAATAAGGTATCTCAACCACCTGCAAATTTTATATAATATTATGAAGAAGTTAGACACCCCCTCAGCCTCCAAATGACCCTGATCTACATTAACTGATCCAAGGCAACTATGGGTTTGCTTCCTGGCATAAATACAATGTCACAGGAAATGACATGGGAAATATTTTGTTTAGGAATTACTTCTATTAGGATCCATTTTATATTGTATTTTTAAATTTGTTTTGTATCCTAACCTCCACAATATTTCCTCATCTTCAAAGATTACCACTCTTAAGAAACATAAAACCAAATTATATGAGATTAAGTAATACTTTATTCATAAAGGGTATATCTGCCATAGAGAGAAGCATAAATACACTCTTAGGTGGCAACAATCTTATCATTAAATAGTTATCACTATGCCAATCTAAAATATCTAAGGAGTTGACTATTATGTAACTTATAAGTAACTGGATACACTATGCTCACTCTCAAAATTAAGACATCTGAAAAGTACTGCAGTCATCTGTCCACAGCAAAACAAGGCTTAATAAATTTAAACAGTTCAAACTAATCTAGGCACTTGTTTGCCATTTTCATATTTTATTATATTTAGAATCAAAATAGGGTGAAACACATTACAATAAAAAAAAAAGTAGATGAATTCCCAAATTAATAGGGGGGTGAAAATGTGACCAACCTATCTTTCACATGAGGTAGAACAACTTTTGCTTTTTCATTTGGAAATAAGACCATGCTGACAACACCAAACGCTGGCAAGGATGTGAAGCAACAGGAACCCCCATTCACTGCTGGTGGGAATGCAAAATGGTATAGCCTGTTCTAGCAGTTTCTTATAAAGCTAAACATAGGCTTACCATACTCCTAGGTGTTCACTCAAATGAGTTGAAAACATATATCCATATAGAAATCTGCACACAAATGTTTAGAGAAGCTTTATTTATAATTGCCAAAAATTGAAAGCCACTAAGAAATCCTCCAATAGGTGAATGGATAAACAAACTGTGGTACGTCCATACAACAGAGTATTATTCAGCAAAAAAAAGACATGGAAGAATCTTAAATATATATTGCTAAGTGAAAGAAGCCAGTCTGAAAAAGCCACATACTATCTAATTGCAACTATATGGCATTTTAGAAAAGGCAAAACTATAGAGACAGCAAAACAATCAGTGGTTGACAAGGGCTAAGAGGGAGGGGAGACAGATGAATAGGGATGAACAGGTGAAGCATAGGGCATTTTTAGGGCAGTGAAACTACTCTGTATGATACTGTAATCCTGGACACATGACATTATGCATTTGTCAAAACCCTCAGGACTGTACAAAGAGTGAACCATAATGCAATCTATGGGCTTTAGTTAATAATAATGCATCAATATTAGTTCATCAATTGTTAACAAATGTGCCACAGGATGCAAGATGTTAATAATAGGAGAAATAGTGTGTAGGAGGAAGAAAGGATATGTGGGAACCCTCTGTACTTTCTGTACAATTTTCTTGTAAACCTAAAACTTCTCTAAAAAAAAAAAGTCTATTAAAAAAAAGACGATGCTGTAACTAGCAGCACATTTTTATTAGAGTATTTCTTCTCTTATTAGCATTAACAATGAAATGACATCCTCCTCCTCTCTTAACAACAACAACAAAATGATTACGGTATTCCTCTTGAAAGGGTTGTTTTGAGACTCACTATCTGTAAAGAACTTTGAGCCCTGAAGCTAAAAGCTGTTAAGTAAATACAAAGTATTATAATTGAAGATGTTGATATGAAAGCAAGATGATTTCATATAATAGAAAACTAAGTCTATAATTGGCACATTGCCATACTAGCCTGGTGGATTTCTTCTTTCAGAGCACATACTCTATGAAAGGTCATTGTGGGTGAAAACAGAGGCCAAAAATCCCACAGGGAGTTCAAGTAGCCTACAATGCAATATTAGTAATTAAGGAAGTAATATTCTTCCTCTATATTCATTTGGGAATCATTTCTACTAATTAGGAGAAAAGCAGCAGTAGTTTTTTAAAAGTGATGGTTACAGACAGCTCAGTCTCAATTCTAGTAGCCTGGTTACAAAGCAGAATAATATACCACTGAACAATATTTTTTTTATTATAATGATAAACACACACCAAAACATACAGCAAATCATCAATTCTACATGTACAATTCAGTAACATTGATTATATTCTTCAAGTTGTGCAACCATTCTCGCTATCCCTTTCCAAATTATCCCACCACCATTAACATACGGTCAATGCACTCCCTATTCTCCACCACCCCGCCCCCCACCTCTGGTAACTACTAATAACTTATGGTTTCTACATATTTTCTTATTTCATATAAGTGATATATAGTATTTGTCCTTTTGTGACTAACTCATTTCACTCAGCATAATGTCCTCTAGGTTCATCCATGCCATGGCATGCATCAGGACTTCATTCTTTCTGGCTGAGTAACAGTCCATTGTATGCATATACCACATTTTGTTTATCTATTCATCAGTTTATGGACATTTCAGTTGTTTCCACCTTTTGGTGACTGTGAATAGTGAAGCAATGAACACTGGTATACATATGTCTGTTCACATCACTGCTTTCAGGTCTTTTGGGTATATACCTAAGAGTGGAATTGCTGGGTCATATGGTAATTCTACTGAATGATATATTTTTTTTTAAAGAGCAAACTATTAGATGAGCAACCAAGCCAGTATTCAACTATTTTCCAAATTAATATTTTCCTAAAAAAATATTTTCCAGAATAATTGTGTTCCTAACGTAATGTTAAAACGATAGCATTACAAATGCAAATTCAATTAATATTAACATTAGGTGCCTACTATGTGAGAGTCATCGTAATAGGCATTAAACAGATATCACCTATCAACAATCCTATGACGAAGGTATTTCTAGCCACATTTTCAAATTGGGAAATGTGCCTCAGAATGATTCAGTCCAAGAATTTAAACTCAGTCTTCTTACTCCAAGTCCAGTATTTCCTCCTTTACTGTCAGGCTGGCTTCTTGTCTGGCTGTTAACTTACAGATCACTGAATCTTACCAGGCCTGATTTTCTCATCAGTAAACTTAGAGAGCTGAAGGATTTCTGAAGTCTCTTTTGCCTGGAAAATTTCATAAGCCTTTGTTCATTCCATAAATTCTATTCTTTTTTATTGCCTAGAATTACAAGTGAGTTGTTCTGGGGTATTTATGGTGTTGCCCTCACCAAGGAAGTGGCAGCATTTTAAATTTGGATAAAATAACCCTTTTAAGTTGTATGGACTGGAACTCTTCAACATAAAAGGAGGTATGTCTAAAAGAAGATGCATTTCTATTTCATCATAAACAAGAGAGGAAGGGAAAGGTTAGAAGGGGAGGGAGCAATATCTCTTGGTTTGAGAACTTCATGAATTCATAAGCATATACACAGTTTTAGAAGACATTCCAAACTATATGTCCAAACATGTTAATCCCTGGAAAAGGCTGTTAACCCTGCAATAATAAGCTGTGAACCCTGCAATAAAAAATAACTACCTTCGCAGTTACCAGAATTCTTTCTAACAGGATTTATATGGACAGCATTTCCAAGATTTACATTCCTGACTTTAATTAGCCAACATGTTAGTATCTATCAGATGGTTTAAATATAGATTTAAAACCAAATGTATTGCTGAAGAATTAGTAGAAGGAAAAACACATATTTACCAAAAGAGAAATAAGGAAAGAAGATGACACACAAATAACAGAATACTATACAGCTACTTAAAATGATGTTGCTGAGAAGTTCATTTATTTACACTGAAAGATGTTCACAATATAATGGTCTATGAGGGGGGAAAAAATCTAACAATAGATAGATTTGGAAAGACACTATATAGCAATTAAATATGTCTTTCAAAAATTATTATCCCTAGCAGGGGGATATCAGGTGAATTTTATTTTCTTATATTTTCTATAATGTAAATTACTTGTGCAATTTTAGAAAAGAATAAAAGATAAAACCAATATCCCTTGAAAATGAAATTTATGAACAAAATATTTCTTTCTATAAATTTACTTAACATTACTTTTCTTCTCTGTCCAGTATACGTAATTTGTCAGCTATATGCTGTGATTAATCGTAACAATCACAACAGCACAGTTATTGAGTACAAGCAAAATTTATATAAACTCCAGATAATATCAACAAAACAATTTTTAAAAACACAAAATATTTATGGAGTACTTTGTTTTGGTTTACAGTGACAGAAAAATTGCAATGATTAAGGGTAGGGTTGCACAGCTGATTACTTTCAGTGTTGTCAATAAGCTGTACACCTGTAAAAAGTTGAATTGGCAAAAGTCGTGTGATACATATTATTTCCAACAATGACTTAAAAAAAAAAGTTCCTGAGGCTGCTTATGTACAACCAAAAACCTCATGGATTTGGTTCCTTGGTTTGGAAGTTTAGGGTCATGGTTTCACAGGATATTCCAGTTAATAGGCCTAGTAACATGTTTAGTGCTTCTGTTCTACATTCTAGTTTGTTGCATAGTGCGTGGGGTGTTAAATACTTGCAAGCAGCCATCCAAAGCACAACACTTGGTCTTTATTCACCTGGAGCAACAGAAGAAGAAGAAGAAGAGTCAGGGATAGGAGGAGGAAAAGGAATATGTGGCTAATTGCCTCCATGAACAACTGCCTCCTTTGCCAAGAGACCAGAAGAACTGAATGGTGTCTGGCTACCATTAGAAAACACTTTGATCATAGATTCCACAGAAGAATCCTGATCAAAAGAGGGGAACATGCAGAATAGAATTTCAAATTCTCATGGACTCCAGACTTTCTGGAGTCCTGGAGGCTGGATGAATCCCTGAAATGATTGCCCTGAGATAAGCCTTAAACCTTAAACAAAAAATATCCCCTGAAGTCTTCTTAAAACCGAACAGTAGTTTAACTTAACTAGTAAAAACAGTCTGCCTTGAGCACTGTGCTCTTTTAAGAATGATCTACATGTGATAGATTGACAACAGAAACTTGAAAGATTAGATAGGAACCTTAGAGGGCAGTGAGTTTACGTCTATGAGGGAACAAGTCAGAAAAGAACGGTTACCCTCAGAAAATTTAATCAAAGTCACTGAATTGTACATGTAGGAACTGTTGAATTGGTCTATGTTTTGCTGTGTATAATCTCAACAACAAAATAAATAAAAACACAAAATATGACATTTAAAAAATTTGCAAATAGTTTATTTCATTGATTGTACATGTTGTTAGGTGCCATCGAGTCAGTTCCAACTCACAGCAACACTATGTACAACAGAATGAAACACTGACCGTCTTGCGCCATCCTCACTATGGTTGCTATGTTTGAGCCCACTGTTGCAGCCACTGTGTCAATCCATCTCGTTGAAGGTCTTCCTCTTTTTTGCTGACCCTCTACTTTACCAGGCGTGATGCCCTTCTCCAGGGACTGGTCCCTCCTGATAACATGTCCAAAGTACATGAGACGAAGCCTTGCCATCCTTGCTTCTAAGGAACATTCTGGCTGTACTTCTTCCAAGACAGATTTGTTTGTTCTTCTGGCAGTCCATGGCATGTTCAATATTCTTCACCAACACCATAATTCAAAGGCATCAATTCTTCTTCAGTCTTTATTCACTGCCCAGCTTTTGTATGCATATGAGGCAAGTGAAAATACTATGGCTTGGGTTAGGTGCACATTAGTCCTCAAAGTGACATCTTTGCTTCGATTATACATAGGGATCAAAATTTCTCTGAAAGAAGCAAGTTATCAGAGTTTGTAAAAATTAAGATTATGTTAATGCTGTCTCTTCTTTTTGCTAGTAGCAAAGGGCAAGATAAATGGTAAGATAAAGCACAACACTGCTCCAACAATCCATGTCCAATCAAGAAGTAGCCACTGGCTACACATTAAGGACTCCTATATAGACCACTTTAGTTTCCAAGCTGATGGAAGAGGGTTCAGAGCAGACCTGACACCAGGTTTTAGTGGATCCACTTCCTCATCTTAAAGAATATACTACAAACCTGACCAAGCAAGAGAGGTCTCAAGATTAAAGTAAAAGCTCCCTGAGTGATCCTGGAACTAATGTGCCTTACCTATGCCTCCTCTATACACAAACTACTCTAGGGGGACTATGGCTAGCATTCCAGTTCTCTCTTCCATCAGTTTCTCACTCTCCACCAACCCTCCACCCGCCACCAGCATGTCCTCACTTTCCACCAGACCCAATTTAGTTTCTATAGTTAATCACTAAAATCACTCCCTTGTATACACAGCCAACCCCCTTGTCCCTCTCACCCTTCACACCTGGCAAAGAAGAAATTCTGATTAAACTCAATTTTCCACCTACTCCACATCTGCACCAGAACAACTAAAATGGACGAAAACGTACAACCTTCTCATAGCTCATTTCAAATTCACGGTCACAAATTTCAAATGGGCAAATCAGCACTGTTCAATAACAGTGTTAAATACCATAAAATAACTAGTTTGTTGATTTTCCCAATCTCCAAAATGACTATCCCACACTTTGTTGTCTCTTCTCAAACCTCTTAGGCCTTTCCAGTCTCCCTGGCTGATGACTGCATTGAAAAAACAGAAGCAATCAGACACTTAAAACCTTCTCTTCCCAAAACCAAAATTACCTACACCTAACCCACACTCTTCTTTCTCTCCTTTTATGACAGATGACATGTCCCCAATCCCAACAAAGTCCAACCTTCCATTTGTGCTGTGGATCTTGTATCTTCTCACCATCTCAAGGAAATTATATCCCTCTCCTCCCTGCATCATCAATTGCTCCCCCACTGGATCTATGGTATCAGCATATAAACCTCCTCTAATATATCCAACCACTTAATTCACATTCCCCCATAGCTACTGTCCTATTTCTCTGCTTCTTGAAACAGTTGTCTACATAGTTGTTTCCACTTTGTCTCCTTGTATTCTTTCCCCAGTGTACACTAGTCAGGCTCCTTTATCTTCCTGTCCATTGAGGTTACAACTGTCAAGGTCATCAGAGAACTCCATTTTCCCAAACCCAACTGTCACATGACTGTTTTTGTCTTTCCTGACCTCTCAACAGCATTCAATACTGTCCTCCATCTTGTAACATTTCCTTCTCCTGCCCCACACAGTAATGACCGACGACTTCCATGTCACTAAATTCATTTTTTACTGCCATATAGTGATTATAAGTGTAGGCTTTGGAATCAGAAAGACTCCATCACTTTCTCATACCCAATTTAGGGCAAGATACTTAATGAATGAGCCTCAGCTTCTTTATCTACAAATAAGGAAAACACTAGTACCTAACTCACAGCTATGAGGGTTAAATTAGTACCCCTTGCCCTTCTCTCTTGCCCCTCCCCTTGCACCATTTATCACTTAGCAGCATTTAACACAATTCACCTTCAAGAAATTCTCTTTTGTTTTGCCTTCTTCCCAATCACCATCATAACCAACCAGTTGCTGTCGAGTCGAATCTGACTCATGGTGACCCCATGTGTGTCAGAGCAGAACTGTGCTCCACAGGGCTTTCAAAGGCTGCTTTTTCAGAAGTAGATTATCAGGCCTTTCTTTGGAGGAGCCTCTGGGTGGGCTTGAACCTCCAAATTTTCAGTTAGCAGCTGAGCACATTAACCATTTGCACCACCCAGGGACTCCTCCCCTAACTCTACTAACCTTTTAAATGTAGGTGTTCATACAGTTCTATACTCTCTCCCTAAGCAATCTGTTCCACGCTCATAATTGAAACTATAATCTAAATTTCCATGATGTTCAAATCTCAATTTCTAGTCTATAATTTTTTCCCAAGCCCCACGCTTATATATATAACTGCCAACCAGACATTAATCATCTGAACATCTCAGGTACCTCATACTCAAGATGCCCGAAGATAAACCTTTTTCACATACTAATTCCTCCACCTGGAATAACTCCCCTGCCTGTCTCAGTCTCTAACTCTTTGCTGGCAGTTTCCATAGCTCCATGTACTACCTATTTTGTAACAGTCACTACACTTACATTTACCGGCTTAAAATACGTATTTCCTGTTAGATGATGAGCTCTATGATGGAAAATAAAACTCTATATCACTAACACCTTGCCCAGTATCTCACACATAGCAAATATTTAATAATGTTTCTTGAACTGAACTCAAACTTTTAAAAAAGTTATTGTTTAGTTGTTTACTGCTAAGTAACTTAACACTTTTATTTCAAAATGCTTAAATCACTCATTTCCATTATTGTCACTTCTAATCCACAAAAATATATCAAAGTGTAAAAGTATTTCTAAACATACTCTGAGGAATTCTACAATTATCAGATACCTCTGGATTACAAAAATTACAATAATAAATAATATACATGTATTTGAGTTTGAAGTCTCATGGGTCTAGAAGCTAGAAAAGACAAGTAAAGGTAATACTGTCTGTCTTACTTTGGAATGTTTATAAAAAATTAGTAAAAAGATAATGTTTTAATTCTGAAATGCATGAACTTTCTGGAATAATTTTTAAAAGGACTTTTTTCTGCAGGACTCTTATCATTTTCTACACAGGAATAAAATACTAAATTCTATCAAAGTAATTGTGTATTAATTTTTTGTTCATTTTTAACTCATCAAAAAAAGTAGTATAACAGTACATTAATTAACTAATGTTTTTATTAGCTTACATAGTCTTGTCATGGATAAATGTAGACTTTCCTTTAGGCAGTCTAAACTGTGGAAAAAACTTACACATGCACACATACATAGGTGTGTTCACTCGGTGATAATTCAATGAGCTATACATACGTGATTTGAAAACTTTAATGTACTTCAAAAAATCAGATTATTTTTTAAAAGTCACATCAATTATAAAACTAAAAATATATATATACTAAATTGAGGAATGAAGTTTCTTACCTAGAAAACATCATAGCTTGAAGGATATGACCATTCAGAAACTGATCACAATAAAAAACAATACAAAATAAAATTAGGAATCAAAAACTAGAATCACAAAGCCTTAGAGTATTTAAATAAATTTGATTCCCAAAGAAACAGGCTTTGTTTTTAAAATATCCAGGCAATAAATACAAGAGTTCCTTCTATTTTCTGTACCTAGTAGAGTATTTGATCAGATTGCTTTTACACATTCCATGATAAAACACATACAACAAAAGTTTAATTTGAACACTGATGGAATAAAAAATTATAAAAGAGCGGGCTCTATGATATTACAAATAATCTAGGCTTTTCATTGGTGTCCTAGAATTATCCAAAGTAACTAAGTAGTCATCAAAGAACCTGTTTATGAGATGGTAGTATTACACCTTTCTCTGGAAGCTATCAAATCCTTTTAATGCAACCTTTGAGCTTCTATGAGTGTGTTCCCAAAATTATTTTCGAAAGCCATTTGGTCAACTATAGGAAGATCATTTATGGGTTTATAACCTTTTACTCAGTAATTATATTCTTAGGAAATAACTTTAAATACTGAGGAAGTTTTATTCGTTTATCATTCATTCATCATTCAATATGTTTGCTGAGTACCTACTAAATAGATATTCTCAAAGATGTTCATCACAATACATTATATTAG